AGATCTCCGTAACATGATACCCATTGATCTTTTTCCTTTAACCAGAACCTCTCAGCAACATCTAAAACTGTCTTATATTATCTAAACCCAATAATGATGGTGCGCATGCAGAAACCAACACAGTAGAGATTAACTTAAGAATACAATACTCCCTTCGTCTCATTTATTTAGGCTGATTTTGTTTTTCACACATATTAATAAATTTTATTTAATATCATTGAAAATCAATTTTTGCAAAGAATTTCTCTAGTTACTTTTATTCAATTATCAACAACTAGTAGTAAATAATATGTTTTTGTCCATGTTTTCAAGAAGAAGTGAGATATATGTGTATGTATTTGGATAATTCCAAATACATAAATTAAAATATGTACAATTTCAAGATTAGTGGAAGGAATTGGTTATAATTAGGCAAATTAAATAAAAGTACATTAGTAAACGAATAAAGAAATATGACTATATAAATGGGACAGGAAAATATGGAAAGTGGGTCTATATAAATGGGACGGAATAAATGGGACGGAGGGAGTATATATGAAGAACATCTAACATAAATTTCCATGTATCAGTAATCATGAAATTCACCTGGATTATAATTTCAATGTGAAAAGCCAGCTGCATACCTTGCCAAATGACTTGTTTACGCTTGCATGAAATGCTAGAGCAGGGTATTCCTTGGATAGTATTCTAAGCCATCCTTTTGTAGCCCAAGCTGGAACCAAATCACACTGAGGAAAAGAAAATATAGTGAGATTTTAAGTCCAAGACTGAGACTCCCTAAACATATAAGAAACTAAACTTAGCAGAACACCTTAAACCTTGTCAAAAAATAAAAAATAAAAAGAACACTCAAATCATAAGGGTGCAACCTTATTTAATAGAAGAATCATGTGCTTGTGCTTGCAATGCTCCTTCAAATGTCTCTCCAAATGGTAGCATCTCGTACCTTGAGGATCTCTGGCATCTAGCACCTGCAACTCAAGATGCAAGTCACGAGTGCCAACTATAGTCCCCTTCTCCCCTTTTAAAGGTAAAAGCTAGGGAGAAGATAAAATGAAGTTATAGTGCAAATTCAAGGATTTTGAGCAGGAACAAGAAGTTCATCAAAGGCATTTTAACTTTCAGAAGAAGTAAACCAAAGAACCA